GGGGGGGGGGGGGGGGGGGGGGGGGGGGGGGGGGGGGCGCGCACGGACACACACATATACGCACACATATACGCACACATATACACACACATATACACACACGCACGCATGCAGTCTCCCCCCGCCGCCCCCCGGGGCCGCTCCCCCGCCCCCGCCCCGCCGCCCCCGCCGCTCGCGGGTTTGTTGTTGCAAGTGCGTGCGCCCGGCGCGTGCCGCGCTCCCGGCCCTGAGCAAACACCCGCCGGGGCGCCGCGCGGGGCGGGAGGCGGCGCGCGCGGGCCGCCAGCGGGGGAGGGAATGTGTGCGGGAGAACGGGAAAGGGGGGAGCCCTGCTCGGGGACGGGCACGGGGGGGGGCCCCAGCGCCGTTCGCTGCCGTGGCTCGCCGCTCCCCGCGGAGGTGGGGGGCGATCCGGGGCGCTGCTGCGGCGGGATGAGGGAGAGGGAAAGGGTGGCTCCCGGGGCAGCCGGGGGTGCGAGCAGTACTGGGATGTGCGGGGCATCCTCTGCGCCGGCTGTCGTCGGGGCGCTGTCTGGCTGGGGCCACCTTAGAGGCACCTGCCGGAGTTTGGAGAGGAGTGGGCGCGGAGGCGGCCCGTGGCGTGGGCAGGCAGGCCGGTGCGTGCCCACGGGAGAAGCGCCCTTGCCATTGCCGGGACGGCTGGGAAGAGAAACTCTGCGTGCGGGACCACGGAAGGGCGCACCGGGTACCTTTTCCCTGGGTAGCACCGGGATTTCTGGTATCGCTCCCTTGGCTCACAAGCCCTGCCAGCCTGCTGCGACTCTCCGCCCGGGGGCTGTCGTCCCCCCCGCTTCCAGCGGCCGGAGCCGCGTGTGCCCGGCACCGCACACGCCCCGCGGACGGGCTGATGGCTCTATTAGCCAGCAACAGGGTGAGCCGGTGTGGGTGTTAGGAGGAGGACGGCTGAGAACAGAGCAGGGCAGAGCAGGCTTCTCGGGACAAGTCACCTCGAATTACCCCTCTGGAATGCTGAGCGCCACGGGGCGAGCTTGTCTGGAGAGAAAGAACAAACCCCTCTTGGGCGAGTCCCAAGTGGATGGTCCTTGCCAAGGTCCGGCACGAGAGGGAGGAGGTTTGTCTCATAGGGCAGCATAAAGTATGGATATGCTGGGCAGAGCAAGCAGGTGTGAAGTCAGCTCACCCTTCACTACCAGATCCTATTCCCAGGATCTTGCTGGCCCCGGGGAACTCACGGAGTCCCTGCCCCTCCCCTGGCACCCTGCAAAGTGGAAGCAGGTCCAAGCAGAAAATGGCATTTGCCGGGGAGTCAGAATGGACCTGGCCTATGCAGGGGACATTAACCCTTCTTCCAAGTGAAGTCTCAGTTGTGGCTCCAATGTGGAAAAGGGACAAGTGTGGAAAAGCAGGGCTGAGGTGCTGAGAGCTTGAGGCTGGCAGGACTTGGGGGTCACAGCGACCCTGGGGGCTGTAGGAATATAGGCAGCCTGGGAGACGCAGTGAGGCTGAGCACTGAGGCATGCTGGTGGCCCTGCTTTTGGCACGAGCAGCAGCGAGGACCCTGGCATGGCCTTCTCTCATTACCCTCCTGCCTTTCACATATCCAAGTATTTCTGGAAGCTTTAACATGTTTTCTGCCTTCAGCTCTGTCTCATTCCATTCTGTAAACTCAGATGTGTATGCTCTCTAACCAAGTAACAAGAGCAGAGCCATGATATGACAGTGTCACCATGGGTAACATTATGGCTCTAGGAAGTCCCTGATAGGGGGAGTTAATCCCTGGTGCTCACACCAGCTCTAAAGTGTGGAAGGAGGGGACCTGCACAGTCCTGTTCAGGTTTCAACAGAAATTAGTGCAAAAGTAAGCCCTGCTTTGCTACTGACCTCAATTACAGCAGCCTAGAGCTGTAGAAATCACTTCTCATCTGCCACTGGACCCCTGACCCTGGTTTTGCCCATGAGTTAAACAGTGATGCACATGAGTTTAAGCAGCAACATTATACAGGAGAACCTTAATGTGCACCTGTTAGCTAGTATTTTAGTAATTTTTTAACATGGCATCTTCTAATGCACGTGTGATGAGAAAGGTGAAGTAGTTCCATATGGTCTAAACTCTGACACGCTTATATTAGAGCCCTCTTCACTGGCCACTGAGTTTGACTTTTAGCCTATTGTCTAACTGCATGTGAAATGTTTCAAATTATTTTATTCTCTCTTAGGCAGGACAGCCAAGTCTAAGCAGGATAAAATGTTTGCTTTTATTTTCTGTTTAGGAAGATCTCCCTCTTCAGTTCCGAGTCTTCTGAATGGTTTGTTCAACATCCCTTGTCTGACGTCAGAATTGTCTTCGCTGGAAATAGTTGTTGCATTGCCAGCTCCAAGTTGTGACTTTGGGAAGCGGTAACAGAAAAATAATTGAAGCCCTGTAAACTATATGTATGTTTAAGCCGTGTAATTATTCTGGAGCAGCCCACTTCCAGACCGTGTGGAAACACCACGTAGGGACATTCCTGCCCTTTTTCCCTGAAATGGCAGAATGAGAGTGGAGTTTCTGGGTCCCTCCTTCTCTAGTCTCAGAGGGCTCTAAAAAAGACAAAACCCACGAGTTCCAGAGGTCATGAAGTGTAACTCCCAAGTAGTTTTGCCTCTGTGGTCCTGTACCTGCTTGTTTACCCCGGCTCCAGGTATATTTGTGTGTAGGGAAGGATGGGGGGCAGAGCCTTTTCCTCCCTTGGCTAAGTAGGGTCCTTTTCCATCCATTGCCACCGGGGAACAAACTCGCTCCTCTGAGTTGTCTGAGGTAATACCAATCTTGCCAGCTCCCCTGTCTACTCACTGTGCAGAGTAAGGGGTCTGAGGCTGCCAGATTTAGAAATAAATATTGTTTCAAGGTCCCCCGCCTTCATCCACTTGTATGCACAGTCTTGCACCTGCACTTTGAAATTCTTAATTCTAACATAATGATAAATAGCCCTTCCCCTTTTCATTGGGCTTTTTTTGTCTCTTTTTTTATTATTATTTTTTTCTAATCTTGAACTGTTGTTATTTTATAGTGACTTTTGTGTGTGCCTAAATCGTAGCCACACTCATGAGATCTTTTGAAGTCCTTGCCTTTTTTTTTTAAAAAAAAAAAAACAACTTTGGTATGCCTTTTTTTTTCCCCCTCCACTTCTTTTCTTTTTTAAAGGCCATTTACGTTATGATTAAATGCTGTCTTGGAAAAGCAGAACGAAAGTCGTTAATCTATATAGATCTTCAAAGAATCGATACATTCGGGACTTCTGTAGGATTTGTTACACTCCATTTTGTTACAGTAGGCAGCTCGTCTGGATTTGGGCACATGTGTTTCTCTCCCTCCCCTCGCCCTCCCCCTCCCTTTTCCAGCTTCCCCCCCAAGAGTGAAAATAAAGTAAAAGGTCTTTCATGGTAAACAAAACCAGCTTATTCTCCACATAGAACACATGAATAGCTGGAAAAAAAACTTACAATAAATGGTGCATTTTTTTCTCTGCTGGGTATAGCATTCAAGATCAGTCCAGTATTCAAGAAGCAGTCCATTTTTTGCTCAGCAAGAGAGTTTAGAAAAGAAGCGTGGGGTCTATTCAAGGATCTTTTCCCCCTTCACAATTGCTGGGCTTTATGAAACCTATCTTCCATGCCTTGTCAGAGTATTTCTGGGGACCAATTAGTGCTTTGTTGCAAGGCTTCTTTGCTGAATCTTTGAGCAGCAAGAAAAAGCTCTCTTGAGTCTCCCCTTATTTTGACTATTTCAGTCATTACTCAGTGTAATAATTAATATGACAACTGGACGCTGAAGTTTGTATAGAAACACCTCGGCTGCAGGAGAGAGCGTGCAGTGGGTGGTAACAAGCTACAGATCAGACCGAGAAGCCACACACACAAGGAAAGGGAAAAAAAAAGGAGGGAGAGAGAATAATGAATGAAAAGAAAGAGAGAAAGAATAAAGATAAATAAATAGTTGGTGCAGCCCGAAGAAACATAATACAGACTTGTAAGGAAAAAAAAAAGGCACTTAGAAGGGGGGGAGGAGGACGGGGGAGGAGGGGCGACCCCAGGGAGGTAAACTTATTTTGAAACAGTTTTTATGTGAATATAATTTTCAAAACTTTGTTAGTTTCAGAAGTCAGGAAAATTATTTTCTCCTGACGATTGTTCCTTCGAGTAAGTAATTTTCAAGGAGCATCTGTTTACACTTTTGCACACTTGATAAACTTTTATGCCTCTTCCTAAGCGTCCCCTTATGGAAAGAAGAACTTAGAGCATTAAACCGTATTCGTGAGTAATTGTTGCCCATCCTGCCCAGGGTGGACGGAGGCTGATTCTCGGGATAGCAAATTGTTAGAGTTTTCTTGGCGTTGTATCATCTACAAGAGGAATAAAGCCTGTGTTCCAAAGAAGAATTAAAAATGACGTTTGACCAGGGACACTGCTGAATTCTCCTCGAAAGGCGTCTTGGGATGAACACTCATCACTTTGCAGACATTTCTTGGGCTGCCAATTAGGGCATAATAAATAATTAGAGGTTTTAAGCATATTAGATACAGCTCATGCTAATGAGCTACATCAGGTCTTGTGCTAACCTGAAGTGACAGTTTGCATATAGGGCTGGAAAAAAAAAAAAAAAAAAAAAAAGAAAAAAAAAAAGCTATCGGCCGAGGCAGCTTTTCCCCCCGCGGCCCGGGCCCGCTCGCCTCTCCGCAGCTTCCGCGGGTTTCCCCGGGTGCTGCCGCCCGGCCCCCACCGCCCTCCGCGCCCGCGGAGCGGAGCCCTTCGCCCGCCGGCCCCGCCGGGTGGTCCCATTGTGCGGCCACGAGTCCCGCGTCCGTCACAGCCCCGGGGGATAAATCACACCGGGCTGTCCCCCCGCCTCCCCCCAGCGCCACTTCTTGGAGAGCTAAATTTTGGGACCTGGGGGTGGGGGGCGTGTTTGTTTCCGGCGCCTCCGAGGCGGCTGTCCCCCGTCGGGGGTGAGAGGGTTTGGGTGATGCCTGCCGCAGCCTGGGAGGCGGATCCTCCTCATTCCCCGGGGAGCGCAGGAGCGGGGACAGCCGAGGTCCCCCCGCTCCCGCCAGCGGTCTCTGCCGTGAGGACACAGTGCCACCTCCCGGCCACTGTCGCCCCGGAGGGAAGGAGCCAGAGGAAATCCTCCGGGGAGGGCATAGATGGGGTACATCTAAAAAGCATTAACCTTTTGGGCAGCCCGGGTCTGTAATGAGAGGGGACATGGCCGGGCGGTTTTGCAGCCGCGATGCAGACTGGGGTGTGAGGACGTTCAGGCTGTCTGGGGAGTAAAAGGAGAGCTACAGCACCCCGAGACCTCTGGTAAATGCATACACGATATCGAAAAGGGGGGCTGCCCCCTGCCATGCTCACACACAAATCGCCTGAGATACCCACGGATTCCTAATCTGGGAATGTTTCGTGAGCTTCTGTTTTCACTAGAAAATCTCCCCTCTCCCCCTTCCCCATTGCTCCCTCACATCTATTGGGACATTCTGAACCAGCAGGGAAAAGACAGATTGCGTCCTTGCACAGGAAGGGACATCCCTGCCCAGATAAGACTCACAGGTCTAGGGAAGCCACCACTCTGCAAATACTGGCTAATGGCAAAGGCAGGAAAGAGCAGTTTGAAAAGCAGCCAAAGTCCGTGGCCCTTTGAACTTGCGTTGTGCCGGCCAGGGGAGCCTGCCAACTTTCAGTGCAAAGAGCCCTGTTAGGCTGAGCAGCATATCCAGGAATGGATGCATGTGGTGTGTTTGTGTGTGTGCAACCAAAGAGTGTGTTTCTGAGGGAAAATGTGTGGTTTTAGGTGAAAGCAATGTGGGACATCAGTGCATAGCTGCATATGGTTGAAAGGAGCGGGGTTGAATGATGCTGCAGCAAGAGCCCAGCGCAGGATTGGTGGACTCAAAGCTCAAGTGCTCACACAGGGGCCACCACAACTTGAAACCCAAGTGGGAATTCACAGTTAGCAATGTCACTGCAGGGGGATGAACCTGTGCTTGGTGTGCTGAACTGGTACTTCAAAGAGGACGGGGAAGCTCTAGCAATTTGGACTCTGAAATGGTCCAAGGTAACCAATTCTGATGCAATTACCTGTTCCTACTGGAACGGCACTGGGCACACACTCCCACACCCCTACACACACCTCTTTGCTCCAGAAGAAGAGAATTTGGGAATTCCTGTTGACAAGCAGGAGCTTTGCTTCCCCTAGCCAGTGCCTTTTGCTACCGGGCAGCCTCTGATAGTCCAGACAGATTAAACAGTGAACTGGTGGCTATACACTGGTGATACTATTATGACTGTGTACCAAAAAGGGATAAGATTGCAACATAAGCAGAAAAAGCAGGGGGTAGAAGGAGGCAAAATAAATAGTTACAATAAGTTGGGAGGAGCACTGCTTTGCATACCTGATGTTTCACTTTTACTTGCCATTACCATCAGGTAGAGTGAACATACATAAGAAAAGGAATGGAAAAAAAAGGGGGAAAAAAAGGCCAAAAGCATGTAGAAGCTACAGAGAAATGACAGAAAGAAGGGTTTATGATTTTGGATGCCACAGTTACTTTGGCCAGCCAAAGGACATGCATTTGATTTTTTTTTGAAATCTTGCTGAAAAATATGCCAAGTAGGAAGCTTTCTCAGGATGCCCTTCAGCGTCCCTATAATGGATTAGACTGTGTCTCAAGCTACACAAACACAGGACACAAAATATGGGCTACTGTAGTGAATTTACTGGCTGAGTAGTTAAAAACCAGTAGTTTTTATACTGCTGGCAATTACTGTGGATAACCTCCCTTTCCCCTCCC